TTATTGCTGGTATTGCTGGTCTGGAAGATCGGTGCAGTTTTACCCAAAATATGCTACAAATAGTAAGATGATCACATACTCAAAGCTTTACTGACATGTCGAGCATTTACAGTAGGCTAATATTTACAAAAGTATTCAGAACGTTAAGTAAAGAGATTGAAATTAAGGGGAAAAATGAATATAAACGAATATAAAAATATAACCAATAATAATTGTCAGGGATAGTCCAGCCTCGTCAGGCCCAATCACCTCACACACCCGTTCACAATCACCGGAGTACTAATCAGCCGCACCTGTCACCACCTCATCAACACTAGCTCAAATACTCAGTCACTGCAGTCACACTTCGTCTGGTCTTGAGTTCACTACGCTACTCCTTACCTGACTCACTAACCCGGACTCCATCCTGATACCTACCTGTCTCTGTGCCATCCTCTTCAGCCCGATCCTAGAAGGAACCCGTCATCACGTGAGCTAGATCCCTTCCATTCAATAGACTGTTGCTCTAACCCGTTTGCTCTCCATCTCTCTCTCTCTCAGCCACCGTTTAATAAAGATCCCTGTTTACCTTACCCCTCCGTCCTTGGTCTCCTTCTGTACTGTGACACCACCAGTGTCACTTTGTTGCCCTTCACATGATCAGACAAAGCCTAGATGACAATTTGGGCCATTAATAATTAAGCACATGCTTTTAGATGAGTGGAAAATAAAATGCCCAAAGCCTGTGCAGCTGGCCTGTAGAATTTCCCAGATTTTTCATTTTGCAGGCATAAATAATTTAGATGTGTCTGCAAACCAAGACTGAATATTTTATAGAGGACTTGTAAAATTCTGCCCCAAAACTTAGCCAATTAGATATCCCTAGATCTATGGCCTCACGATATTCTTATTTGTAGAGTTTATTCTGGCACCACGCAAATAATTCTGCATAGTGCGTTACAAACTCATACTTGCACTTTTTGCTTTCTGGTCTGATCAAATTTCCAGTAGCCTGTTTGTTTTTGTATTCATTTAGTGAGAACTTCCACTGTATAAACCACTAAATGACACTAGTGGGACTTTTGCTGCATGGTTATTGTTTTGAAAAGTTCTGTGACTGTGTTGCGACATATGAGGCACTGATTACTCAGAGGTCACTTCCAAACCAAGCTGTATTATATTGGTAAAAGCTGCAAATTTGTGAGTTCAAAAATCTAAATTCAGAAATGGGTGAAGCAACATGTAAAGCAACTAGCCACAGTTTTTAAATGACATATAGGAGTGGGCAAATCTGAAACTCGTGCTACCACAATTATTGACTGGCAAACAAACAAAGTTTTTGATTGCAGTGCTAAGAACTTTGGCATTGCTTTTTTGTTTTCTCATAGGGTATGTTTAATCCATGACCAAATCAGAAACCCAGGTACTGCACCTACAATAATCTCGGGTGACATTTCCTCAAGTTGGTCCCAGTCTCTTGCAATTCTTCCAGGACCTTCCAGATGTGCAGCAGATGATCTTCCCTGCTCTCCAAGTGGATGAATCAGAGTTTGACATCTTTCCACTTTGGGGTATATAACCAACAGTTGTTTTTCTTCACCCTGATAAGTTGCCACACAGTAAAATAAGAGGACAAGGCTGCCATGTTGTTTCGTCTTCTTCACTGGATGTCTTACTGTCCAGTGGCTGGTCAAACCCTGGCCAGTTTAACCTGAAGTGGAGGGGTATGCTATATCCACTTTCCAAGGCCCCTGGCTGAGATGGATACTGGCACTGCCTGCACAAGTCTAGTGTCCCCATGTATACACATCAAGTGGTGTCTGTTTCTAAATTGTGCCAAGCAAGAGAGGATGAAGTCTTGGGACAGATTCACAACCAAGTGGAGAGGGTACTCGATGGCCCTTGATACGCATTTCCACCATCACCCTTTCCAGGGGCTGTTCCTTGTTTTTCCTCAGGGTAACCCATCCTCACTTGGTTGTCCACATGATGTGGACTTGTGTAGGCAGTGCCAATATCCATCTGACACAATGGCAACAATATATAAAATTCATACGTAAGTTCAAGATAGCTTGTTCATCTAATTAATCTAACTTAGCCTACCTTCCTTCAGTGACGTTTCTCTAGCATCCCTTCTCCTCCCCTCCATCTCTGTCGGGTCTCGGGTCTGATCACCTGTTCTTTGCAGTCTCTGTCTCTGTGTTTGGGTGTTGTGTTGTTGTTGTGTGCGTGGCTTGTTTTGACAGCTCGCCACGTGCGCATTGTCAGCGTGATTGTTTCCCCGCCCTCCTTGTTTCTCTGCTCGCTAGATTCTTGTTTCACACCAGGTTCTTGTTATCTCATTAGCTTCCCCTTATAGCTCCTCGTGTTTCTCTGTCTTTTGTCAGACTGTTGTGATTATTCCCTTGCTCTGACTGTCATAGTTTGTTTTGCTCACCAGTCCTGTCTTGTTCCGTTCAGGCTCCAGTGCTCGTAGCTGCCTGTATAATTTCCTGCACCTCTCTGTGCGTTCAGAAACCCGTGGGCTCCTTTCGGCATTCGCCTACCCTGGGACTCTGCAGTCTCGTTATTGAGTTGCTCAGCCTCTCACTCAGATTAGCGAGCTGCCCTGCCGGCTTCGTCTCCACTGCCGCAGTTGCGGCTTGTTCCAGCCGCTGCTGTCCA